TATAATAGTAAATTTTAAATTTTAATTTAACATCATAGAGAACGTTTATCGTAGTTCATAGAATCGATTACAATATACAAAGTAAATTTGCCTCAACGATCAGAGAAACATAAATTGAAGTACACGTTAGGTGGTATACTGTGCATAATTACTTTAAAGATAATATACACAACAAAATTGAAAGAGAATAGTAAAATAGTAGATACAAGGTACAGAAAGGTCTCGTGTACTTTCTTAACATTCACCGGAAGTGGCCCTTTGACCGTCCATTGCCCTCTTTCTTCAAACACCTTTCGCAATTTTTCAACGGTACTTGAATTTCTCTTTCTCTTTCTCTCTCTCTCTCCTTCATTTAAATTTTTATTTTTGCTCTTTTAACAATTATCTCGTGTTATCACTATCTTTATCGTATTATCAGTATAATAATATTATTATATATTTATTTGTTTTATTTGTTTTATTTTTTGTTTCGAACATCATTTAAAAACAATTAATCATTATAATATTTTCTCAAACGTTTTCTTTAAAAAAGACGTTGTTTAAAAATACAAAATAAATACGAAAGGTTCGAGAATAATATTCGAAATTAAAGAAAAAAAAAAAAGGAAATTTCTAAGATGATAATTGAAATGAATTAGATTTTACTAACAAAACAAAATAAATTTATTCTAAGAGATCGATGTGGAAGAGTACAACAATAGAGTGTTTAATGGATAACGTTAGAGCAAACCTAGTTTAATTCAGTGATTAGGAATGGATCGATACATTCAAACCACATCGACAAAGTTCTACAATATAGGAACTACCAACTTAACCGACAATCGAATTTACCAAACGTGTATGAAAACGGTTCAAGCGTAATAGTAGAAACACTGTCGAATCATTCGAACGTAAAACAATTACTATACTATCCAATGAAAACTAAACAAACAAAAAAAACAATTAAACACAAGTAAAAGAAGAAGAAGAAGAAGTAAATCAAATGGTTCGAAATCAATGCAAAACTATATTTAAAAAAAAAAAAAACAAAAACGAAACAAACAAAACGAGAGAGAAGAAAAGAAAAATAAATAAGTGTTAGTATCGAACACCCGGTAGAAATTTGAGAAAATCACACGTTTCATTAGAAAACGATTCTCACATTCTTCATGATAAAAGTAGAAAGATAAGTAAGTAAGTAAGTACTTACGTCATAAGAAGAATGATCAAAACTTGAACCACGTTTCAAAGTAATGGTCTTTATATATGTATGTGTATGTGTCTGTGTCTCTCTCTTATTTTCTTTCTCTTTTTGTCCATTTCTCAGACAAACTTATGTTAGTTTCATTACTTAAGAAGATATAGTCCAATGGGGAAATAGCTATGCTTATCGTACTTACAAAATGTAACATACTAACTATGAATGTAGGAAGATGATACAAGAACATACAAGCTCAATTGAAATTGCTGAAATTTCATTTGATTTTAGGGGTATCAAGAGAAGGAATCATTCTCATCATCATCATCATCATCATCATCATCATCGTCGTCGTTCATTTCGAGAGTTTACTTCTACCATTCGCAGTTCCCAACTTTGGTCTTTCTAAACGTTGCAAGATTCCAATTGGTAAACCCTCAGCTTGCCTCTTCGACCTACTCTGCAATTTCATTTTCAAAGTTTCTATCTATCTACATATCCTATCTATATATGTTAATAGATATCATTCTATCTCTCTCTGTATCTCTTTGAAAATATTTCAGAAAATATTATTACCATAATTTTAAAAATGTGAGATAATTATAAGTGAAATAATGATAAGACATTGTAAAAAACTTTGTAAATTGTGCAATAAAAACCTGATTATATATATATTAATTTTGTTTGAAATATATTTGAACAAATCAGATATAATAAAAACATAATATTAGGTAAAATGTATTATAGTGTTTGAATATATATTTTCTTTTTTTATTCATATCCCAAAATATATATAARTTCTATTAGATAAAATGTCAAATTAATTAAACATCGTGTGTGTCAATACACATTTTTTTCTTCTTATATTCTTTTTTATTTATATTACAAAATTTTTTAAATCCTATTACAATATAAAAAATTAATCGGAAATATAAACAATCGTAATAATCCATAAAACGATAAAAATCAATACTTAATCGTTTCAAAAGTAAACGTGGATAGAAATTGTATTGTTTATATATACGGGGTGTTCGATAAAAAAATATTCAATCGATATTCTTAAAAAACAAAACAATATAATAATAAAGTATACTTTCTTGAACGGGTTATGAGTAAAATAATAACAAAAAAAAATGAGTATAATAAATATAACGTATCGGGAAAACGTGTATACGTGTACATACATATAAA